TAATTGTTTAATATTTGCTTTCAATTATTTGCCGTAGACTTCTGCTTTCAGACGGAGTCATCTCCAATCTGTGTGAATCTGTCCTTTTTTTCATTCTCACTCTGTTGCTGAATTTCCCCACGGGGATTAATAAAGCTCCATCTTATCTTATCTTAAACCACACAGGTGAAGAAGAACTGACGACAACATGTGGGATTTCCAGCGAAGACGAGCTGATTCGAGGAGTGAGGAGGAGGATGGAGGCGGAGAGGAAGATGATGCCTACAGTGACAGAATCAGGAAGTAAACAGGAAGTGAAAGAGGACAGTGAAGTGCTGGTGCACGTGAGAGCAGATCTGTTTGTGAACGCCAGGTCGTGGGAGAGAGTTCGAGGAGCTCTGACCACATGTGGCCCTCTGAAGCTGCAGTGCAGGTATCTGAGAGCGGAGGAGATCTCTGTGTCCAGCATCAGAGCTCTGCTGGCGTTACTGCCGCAGCAAGGGCTTCTGGGACTTGATGTTCGTTACAGTAACATCGGAGTGGCTGGGTCTGGCTGAGCTGCTTCCTCTGCTGAAGAGGTGGGGAGAACAAACACCTCCTTACTGTACTTAAGTTCATGTTTCTGACCACTTTTTACTTTAACTTCTTACATGTTGAACTCAAATACCGTGTACCTTGCTTTCTACTTCTCTCATTTTCCAAACAGACTGGTTCCTTTAGTCTGAATGTGTGTTTGGTGCGTGATCATTATTATTTAGAGTCATTGCGTGCCTATTGATTTGAACACGATCCGTGTATCCATCATTTCCTGGTCTTCTCTAAAGAAGAGGGACCAATGGAAACGTTGTCATGTTGCCGTTGGTCACCATGGAAACATTCATTAGCTAACAATGACATTATTGTTCTATTAATATAAAGGGAGGTCAGGTACTCTTTAAAACAGCTGCTAGTTATTGAGGAAAGAAGTTTAGTCAGTACTTCTACTTTCACCAGAGTATTTTTAAACACGAGTGTCTGAACTTCTATTTGAGTAAATGTGTGTGTACTCTGTCCAGTTTCCCCGCTCTCAGCTCTCTGCGTCTGCATTACTGTAACCTGGATCTCCGGAGAGAACAGCCCGGACAGGAAGGAGCTCTGAAGGAACTTTCTGAGGGTCTCAAGCAGCTGCAGGAACTCCGATGCCTCAGCCTCACCGCGCTGCGTCTGCCGGGACAACTCCGAGTGCTGCTCAGGTAACACAACATCCATATTACTGCTTTCACTTCAATCAAATAGTTCCTATTCTGCTATTTCTGGTTTATTAAAGGTGCCAATGGTGTTGATCCCTTAAGGAAAGGTGTTATAGCAGCAACAGGATAACAGAGAGATAGTAAGGGAAGGGGGGGATAGTATTGTTTTGTAAATTGTACACCGTAAACAATCTTGAACAAAGCAACCTTTGACCCCCCGTCGACCTCTCTAATGGATGTTTGAATGTAATAAATGCACCTCGTTGTGTCCCAGCTCGCTGCCTCGGCCCCTGGAGGTCCTGGAGCTGCCCTACCTGAGCCTGAGTCCTGCTGACCTGGCCTTCCTCTCCGTCAGCCACCACGCCTCCACTCTGCAGCAGCTGGACCTCAGTGAGAACCGTCTGGATGAAACCACGCTGACCTCCATCCGCCGCCTCCTCTCTCAGGCCTCCAGCACCCTGCAGCACCTCTCTCTGAGCGGATGCGGACTCACCGATAACCTCCTGGTGCTCCTTTTGCCCTCTTTAGGATGCTGCCGGGCCCTCAGGAGCCTCGCGTTGGCGCTGAACCCTCTCTCTGTATCCGGCCTCATGGATCTGGTGAAGATGGCGGTGAAGATGCCTTCTCTGCGGCAGCTGCTGTACCCGAACCCTCTGGAGGATTATCAGCCGGGGCTCCCAGAGATGCCCTCCAGCGCCCAGCTGTTAGACTGGCCCCTGGACGAGGCTATAGACGTCAACATCACCAGCAGCCAGATCAACAGAGCGCTGAAAGCCAGCGGCAGATCGGACCTGCTGCTGACCTGCGACCTGCTCAACTACGATAAAGACATGGTGTGTTAAAGGATCACGAACACCTGGAGATCAAATCCTGCAGACTCTCTCCTGCTTTCTATCTTTTCTTTATCAAGTGATGAAGATTTATGGACTATCAATACGAAACACGTGCGCTCCTATTGGCTCGCGCTCCAACACATTGTACGTGATAGGCTAAGGGGCGGGACATCTCTAAGCTGGTACACCAATCACGACAGAATGCAGGACTTTTAAAGTATTACGAACAGCTGACGATGAAATCCTGCAACTGTCTCCTGGTTTTTATTAAATATATATATATATTTGTTTTTAGGGAGTTTCTCTCCTCCATTGGACTCCTTTGTTTACTTCTGGAACATAGTGACATCACGACGGGACACTCGCTGCCGGATCCGAACCGCCGAAAACACAATTGATTTGGACATCTTGTTTGTTCAGATGAGTAAATGAACAGGATATTTATGACGTGGTTTCAGGTTCTTTGCGATGATAACTTTGACCCAGATGAACCTGAGAACGCCTCTTTTGATCCTGATCCAGAATCCATACCACAATCAGACCTTCCTGCCTTAAAGGAGGACGTCCACTCTGAAGCGCTGCAACAAATTGTGCTGCTTCAACTTCTTCCAGCACTGAGTGGGACACGTGGAGGGGATGGTGCTTCAGTAACATGGTGCTCTACTACTTTAATAACTCTTCTTGTTGTACATGTTGCTCTTCTGACAGAATCGCCTGTGCTCTATCATCAGGACGGGATATGGATTGTTAACCCTCTTGAAATGACACGCTTTTTAAACAAAGGCATTATCTCATCATCTTGTATATTTACACACACATCAACACCCTCTTTAAATGTGTGTTCACGACAGATGAGCACATGCTTACCTCCTTGTGTAGAGGATGAATGAACTGCAAAACCTTTAGGATTATTATCCGAGTGATTCTCGTTGTGTTTTCCATTTTTGTACCAACTGTCCCCGAATAAATCAGTCTTTAATCTGATTGTTGAGTCTTTTAATACCAGAGGTGGGAAGTAGTGGAATACAAATACTTGGTTCAGTACATGTTTCTGGTATCACTACTTTACTCCACTACTTATTTTTCTGACGACTTTCTACTTTCTACTTCTCACATGTTGAACTCAAATACCTGTACTTTCTACTTCTCACATGTTGAACTCAAATACCTGTACTTTCTACTTCTTACATATGTTGTACGTACAATAACCTG